GCGCCGGAGAGCGTGGCCTTTGCTGCGCAGGTGGGGGTCTTCCAAACCAGTGGGGCGTGGGGAGCCCCCCGTTTTGGTTGGGGTTTTAAGGCAAACCAGGGGGGAAAACCAAGAGGAAACCGTGATTTCTAGGGGATCGCGTTAAGAAAAGATGCGCATGTGTTGGGTAGAATTTGACTTGGAAATGCTTCTTTGTGTTGTTGGAGTGGCCCCACTAGAGTTCAAATACAAAACCGCGGGGTGACACTTGGAATTGGGGGATTTGGGGGAGGGCCCTTAGACCATAAGGGTTTGGCCATCGAAGATGAGGCTTGCCACCTGTGTTGATCACGTGAGCAACCAAAACTGTGGGCCGACTCGGGGAGCCGAACAACTGGCATCCCTACGAATCTTTCTTCTCAGAACACCTGTTTATTGCTTGTTTTTGCCTTTTGCGTTTGTGCCAAAATTGCTTGTTTTTGCCTTTTGCGTTTGTGCCAAAATTCAACAAGTCAATTCCATTGTGAATGTTCCCTGTTTTTCTTTCACTTCCTACATTTGCGTAGTACAATTTAACTTTGTGAATAGTCCTTGACGTCATGTGATGTTCTTCTTCTTCTTTTTCCTGTTTTGATTTTGGGACAGTTCCAAGGAACTGGGCCACCCCTGCTTAAAGGGACTGAGGCTCAACTCCCCCCCCCCCCATCCAGTTGCCCAAGGTCATGGGTGCTTGGGGCTGAGGCGCTGGCTGGAACCGCAGACTTTGTGGTCTTCTCGGAGTTTGGGAAGGACCTCGTCGGAGTTTTGGTACATGTCCAAGGGCAAAGAAGCAGGTTGGACGTGGACAAATGCCGGGAGTGAGAGTGGGTCAGTTAGGATCACCTTGAAGCATGGACTGGTAGCAACTTTTGTAAAACACACGATGGGACACGTGTGATTTATGTGTTTGGGCGCCATACTCGTACAGGACTAGGGCTCGTTGATTTGATTGAGAAGAGTTTTTTTTGGGGTGAAGACACAAAAGGTAGACAGTGGGACAACTTGCAATTCGGGTTTGTCTCAAAGCAGGGGACCAACTTCGAATTGGTGGCTTTCCTTTAAACACACACACACACACACCCATTGAGTTTCGGAACTCTGGCTTGTCTCATGGGCTGACTTGATGAGATCCGCGCAGTTTGGTTCGTTGGGTCTCAGCCGCCCGTCAATCCGGGACGACCGAAATGCCCGGGTCGTACAACGAAGGGGCATGTCGGCAAAACGCATGCCTGGGCAGTTGACTTGATTACAAAACAAAGGATCCGGAGGTTGATTTTCTCAGATCCGGGAGAAGCCTGAGCTCCCTGAAACTACTCCAGGTTTATCCGATGTTGTCCCCATTCTGTCTATGTCATGATGCACTTGTCCTCTTCGCTTCATTCGCAGGACGGGCCGCCGGAGAAGAAGAAGAAGTTGGCCTGAGAGCGGCAGAGCTCACCGGTAACAGACCGGTGGCCGCATTTCCGGTCCAAAAGAGCCTGCGCCAAAAGGGTGTCTCTCAAAATTAGGGGACCAATAGCTTCAAGTGGTTGGTTTCCTCTTGGTTTCCCCTTTCATGCAACCAAGCCCTGTTTTGAGAAGCCCTGAGCCTGAGGAGAACGCCGGACGCTCGACGTAAGGGCTGCGGCCGAATCGCAGTGGCGACGGAAGGGCTGGTTCGAGCAGAGAAAAGTTACAAGACCGGGTTCGCCAAGTCAGGACCACAGCCACGAGCGGTTCCAATCTCTTAGCCGCGAGACTGGCAGCTGCGTGAAATCTTGCTCTTCCCCGTTTGTCCCCGGCTGGACGTGACACGCGCGCTTGCGTCAAGTGCTCGGGATTCACTTGCGCTGTCGCCGAAGTATCAATGCCTGCTTTGTTCCACAACGCAGGCCAGCAGTGCACAGGCTGGGTTGATGGAAATCTCACCTCTCGACGCACGATTCAGCTTTGTCGATCCGGGCCTCTCGTGCCCGCTGTCATCATCCACGCAGGGTTCTGGTGACTGCCACATGCCGCCTCTTGACGTCATCCTTTGACTTTGCTTGCGGTCCGAACAACGCCGCTTCATTGAGTTTGAGCTTTCCATGCGCAAGCAACCCACAGAAGCTGTGACTTGCAGCGTTGCGGGGGCGGTGCGATTGCAATGCTTTGCTGGAGTCTGCGTCCAGCACCACGCCCGCCCGATGGAAGGATTATGCTGCTTAATGACTCACAGGCCGTCCCTTTTACTCTCATACACTTGTCTAATCCCTCACCCATAGATGAGATGGGAGAGAGGGATGACATAGACAGGGGAGAGATTGTTGGTTTAGAGGTGTGGTGTGAGAGAGTGAAAGATGGCCATTCCTTCATCTCTTTACCCCTATCCCTCGCTCCCATTCACTCCGCTTTGGATCTGGGGACCAAGATAGGGGAAAGAACGGGATAAGAGGTAGAGAGGCGGTGACCTGTCTCTTGCTTCGTCCTTTCGGTATCCACGCAACTCTGAGGGACAGTGCGTTCGCTCGCGGAAGCTGTGACAAAAGGAACAGAGAGACGAGAGAAGACATGCCCTATCTTGACCAAAAACATTGCTGTCATGCCAAAGTTGTATCCAACAGACGGAAATGGGAGCAGAGAATGGTAAAAGAGATAGCATTCCTGTTAATATAAATATATATGAAAGAGAAAGGGGGGTGTGGGAGTGAAATGATGGATCCCTTCCTCTGTTCTTTCTACTACCTATCCATCTCTCCCGTCGTTAACTAACTTTCTATGAGCTGCCTTTCGGTGAATCAAGGAACGAGGGAAAAAAGGACGAGGAAACGAGAGACAGGTCCCATTTTTTAACATCACACCCCAACTGTTTATCTTGGAGACAGAGGTTGGGTAATAATGTGGGAGAGATGGCACCGGCTCGCGGCTGCTGGCCGCTTGTCTCCCAACCCCGCGTGACGATGCGCTCTCGACTGACTTCCGCCGCTCGGCGAAGCACGCGTTACGACGCGCTCTTGACTTCCGCCGCCCAAGCGGGGCGCAAACACGGCGACATCAGTGCGCAACGTCCAGCTCGCCAGACGAGACAGGCGCGCTTGTCCTGCCGCCTGTTGCGCGGATTGCTGCCAGTGCGCGCCCCGTGTGCTTGATTCGGTGGATTTGGTCGCCGTGTTTTCCAGCGCGTGGTCTTTCGCCTTCCGCGCTCTGCTCCCCCCGCCCGCCGGGGGAAAGCTGTTGCTGGCCATCACGAAGGCTAGCTTTAACTAGCTGAATTTTTCCTCGCGTAAACAAAGGGGCTGAAATGCCGAAAGGTTGTTTGCGTCAACTGTGTGAGCTAACCAGGAATGCCGGAATGAAGTATTTAGACCCTCCCTCCACGCTTCCGGGCTCGAATTCCCGTGGTCCGCCCCACCTCTCAAGTGTTTGCTTTTTCCAGGGCATCCAGTGTGCATATCAGGTCCTTTCAGGACAGCACCTTGCAAAAAGCCGTGCGACAACTTCAATATTTTTTCCTCCACGGATTGCAAAGGCCACCATGTCCGTTTGCCTCCCGGAGGATCTGTATCTATTCGGCTTCCGACCCGTCTGATACCGTTAAGCTCGCTGCTGAGTTTGCAGCCCCTGTTCTTACACTGCAGGGGGATCCCGGTTTCATAATGCCAGGAGCTCGCCGAGCATGGGCGTTCGCCTTACGCGCGCTATGCGCCGATGACCCCGTTCACGCGCGGCGCCTCTCGGGGTGCGGAAAGGCGGAACTCTTGCATCGCAAGCGCGCACTCTTCAACCTGGCGCGCACTTCCGGCGGTCGCTCATTTCAGCAGCGCTGGCCCTGGCGATTAAGCAGCCCTGACTGCCTCACAGCCCAGCCCTGAAGGCGCGGCCGTTTTTCCACGGCCGCTATCCGGCTTGATGCCGCCGCCGTAGCGGACGCCCTGTGCGCGGCCAGTTCAGTTTCCCTGAATTGGTTCTTGGAAAATTTCCGCCGCGCTCGCAAAGGGAGCTGCCCGAGGACCTCAGGCCTCACAGCCGAGGTCGCCCCACGCGGGGACTTCTGATCAGTTTGTCCTGCATGGTACAATGGTAGACGAACTCGCCAGGGTAGCCGTCAACCAGGGCGAAACGCTGTCTACAATCGCGCCGGGGGCGCCGCCCCGCTGGGTTTTTCGGAGCTCGGCCCGAGGTGTGGCGCGGCAAACCGTCAGCCGAGCGCGGGTTTGCCCCGGAGTTCGCGGCTCAATCTTGTTTGAATTTTCGGCCGCGTTGCTATTTTAGCTTAAGCCTTAAAAGAACTAAAAATTTTGAGGGGAATTTTTTAAACATGAGGGGGCCGCCTTTGCCCGCCTTTCTGCTGCACCCGCCGTTTGCGCTTCGCTTTGGTAACTCTTTGATGTCCAGGACAAGCAGGCGTTTCAGGCGCGCTCAGACTATCGTTGTCCTTCGCCCGCATCTCTGTCTTCCGAAAGCCGTTCACAACTAACAATCATACCACGACGGGCAGGTTGACCCAGCTTTTTCTGCCTCGCATACGCTCTTTGTGCTCGTGGACACCCCATCCATAGGTCTGCAGCTACGCACTGTTTGTGCAGCCATTGCGTTGCATAAAAGCGTGCCCTTTGCTTCATTCCATTTTAAGCCTGCAAACACTCCATCCGTGTGCTTCTGCCGCTATACACTGTTGGTACAACAGTTGCATTGCCGGGATACAAACGTGCCATTTGATTCAATAAGCCAATCAAAGTTTTCCGATTGCCGCAGCAGTGTGCATGACATGGCCTTGTCACTGCTCTAACCAGATCTCCGCTTTCGTTGCCCGTTGGTCCGCCTTGCTCGCGTCTGCCGCCCACCAGGCCCTGGCGGAGTCCCTCCTCCTCGGCTCTGTGTCGCCTGGCAGTGCAACTATGGCGCCCCCGCGCCCTTTGCAAGCCGCTTGAGCAGGTGAGGACGCTGGCCTCCAAAACAGCAGCGTGAGTGCCCCTGAGGCTCGACTCGTGCTGGTGCAAAAAGGGCGTGTGAGGAGAAAAGGTAGATCAGCTGCCCTTGGCAACTTGCGGCGGGCCAGGAAAGGAGCTGCAGCAGGCCCTACTGGCTACATTTGCCGTTTGGTTTTGGACGACGAGACCGCCAGTGCTTTATTCTTTCGTGCTGCCTCCGCTTTGGCCCAAGCACGGGTCCCGCCATGCATCGCGGCAGCTTTTGGTCTCGGGCGGATGGTGGCCCTTTAAAAGCCGCTCCTTGCAAACCTGCGCCGTGCCCGTAAACCTCGGAGTTGTGCCACCTTGTTTTGGATGACGAAGCCTCTGGTCTTGCTTTCGTCCGAGCAGTCATTGATCTCGCACACAGGTTCCCCGTAGCATCGCCACAGCCATTGGCCTTGGCCGCATCGTGGAGCTGCAGAAGCCAAATTGCCGTGTCAGGGGCATTGTCTTCGGTGACTTCCTTCGTCGGCTAGTGGCCCGTTCGCAAGTTTTTCGTCCAACTTGCAGGAGGCCTGTCAGCCATTTCAGTTCGCCCTCTCCACACGTGCCGGCACCGAAGCTCTCGCGCACGCCCTCCAGGCCGCCACAGAGGCGGATCCTGATGCCACATCCTGATGCCACAATCCTGTCCGTGGATGGGGTCGGGCTTTTGACACCGTCAGCCGCCTGGCAATGCTCAGCGGTCTTTCCCGCGTGCCCGGTGCTAGTGCCAGTCTCCCTTTCGTGCGGCAGTTTTACGCGGCACCCGTTCGGTTTGTGTGGCATGATGCTGCAGGTCGGCCGCGCGCGATCAACCAGGCAGAAGGCGGTGAACAAGGCGACCCGCTCATGCCAGCACTCTATGCATTGGGTCAGCACCCGGCCCTGGTAGAACTCCAGCGCCACCTTCGCCCAGGGGGAGCTCGTGTTTGCCTACCTCGATGACATTTATGTCATCGTCCCCTCAGCCCGGGCCCGTGTGGTTTTCGACCTACTGTCCTAGCACCTGTTCCGGCATGCGCGCATCGAAGTCCACCAGGGCAAAACAAGGGCTTGGAACGCCGCCGGGCTCGAGCCGCGAGACGCCACGGTCTGGGTCGGTGACCCGGCCTTGCCGCCCGAGCAACAGGGGCTCGTTGCACTTGGGGTTCCCTGTGGCCATCCTGCATATGTTGCTGCCCAGTTGCAAGCCACACGCGCCAAGCAGGACTCGCTCCTCCAAGGCATCCGCTCGCTGCCCGACTTTCAGTCCGCATGGTTGCTTCTGTTTTGTGTTTCGCCGTGCTGCTGTCACCTTCTGCAGTCCTTGCCACCTGTGACCTTGCTCGCCTTTGCGGAAGCCCATGACGCGGCTGTCGCCGCCTGCCTTGCGGATTTGTTGGGGGCCGGCCCGGACCACGCGCTCCGCCTTGCCCAGCTCCCTTTCCAGCAAGGTGGCCTCAACCTGCGGTCTGCGGTCGTCCTTGCTCCGGCCCCCACCCTCCGAGGCGTGCTCCAGTCACGTGGGATGCCGTGATCCTCGGTGCCCAAGCCCCCCCCAGTCCGAACCCAGGCTGGCAGGCGCCAGCTGCG